TAGATCATCCTGACTTGGTAATAAGGGATGCATGTACCTTTTATCTCAAAAGTGTTATCACTGCAGTAGTATAGGATGGTTGATACACGGACAAGATATACGAAAAATCACACACAGCACTACCTAAAAAGATTCTCATTGTAAACATTATTTTGCTCAGATAGATAGACTGACAGTTTATTAATGGCCACCCCAAAGGTGGTGATGAATTGGAGATTTAGCGTCCACTTTCCGACATAATGCGTCTTTCACACAGGTCATTTAGTGTTTGATCGAAAGAGGTGTGATTTAGCCGAAGGATATGGGAACCTGAAGGGGCGTTAAGGTTGCATAATTAAATTTGTATGAATTTTGAATTTAGAAATTTGCCAAATAATAAGCCCACAATAAAATACACAAATTTATGCATGAGATATGATATATATAGGGCCACTCTATATTGAGTTTCAAGATCATAACATACTCAAACTCTTTGCAGAAGTCGTGCAGATACGACACTGACTCAAAGATTCCAACCGACGGTGCAACAGCACCCCTAAAACTTTCCCCTCCACCTATGTTTTCTTTCTGTATTCTGTTTACAACCCCAAAGTGCACATGAAAGTGCCCAACTGTGAGTTATTTGCCTTTGTCTGAAAGCTGCCACTCTCTTCTCAGTACCCTTTTCTCCTACCACCTCCCTGAAATGTATTTGCCTTTGTCTCTCCAATCCTGAAATCCTCTCTCCAGTCTTACGCAATATCTCATAAATCTACCTCCCACCTGTTGTAACTTAACCTGTGTCTACCCTGAAACCTGCCCCCATCCGTGATTTTCCTACCCAAATCTAACCCTCAAATCGCCTCACCTCCCAAACCCTGTCTGCTAATACCCCTGTCCACCACCCCTGTCCCCCTCCCCCTCTTCTAGAACCTCCTCCCCTTTGTGATATGTCGTACCAGTCTCTAACCCTGGAACCACCTCTCCTCCCAATCTCCAGCATGTAATACCCCAGTCCTTAACCCAGAAATTCCCTCTCCCCCCCCCCCTGTGATATCTTGCACCCATATCTAACCCTGAAGTCACTCCTCCTCCCCATCTCTGCCATGTAATACCCCAAACCACAACCCTTAAATCCCCTCCCCCCACCCAAGAAAAACCTCCTCACCCGTGACATCTTTTCCCCTGTCTACATTCCTATAAGCCTGTAGGACAAAGGCCAGAATCCTCCTGTGTTTATTGCCCTATGTCCCATTCAAGTCCCTTCCTGTCATAGTAAAGATGTCCGCCAGAGCGTGACCCAGCCCAGGGGGGAGGTCTAACCTGTGTGACGTAACCTGGTGCAACTGTTGATGCTCTGTGACACTTGAGTGGGGGCCATCATCTATGTCAATAGGTGTGGGTAAACAGATTTAATGAGGAAGGGGAGGTGAGGGCTCTAGGAATACCTAACACAAAACATCTGAAGGCATCTTTATACCAGGTTGCGCAACAAGTCATTTCAGATGTGATTAAGTCTGCTTTGATGAGGGTAGAGATGTCATGGTGAAGGCTGGTTGTTTTAAAGGGATTCTGTTTGATGGGAAGAGCTAAAGAACACTGTCTACCAGACAAAGTATTTTCCAGTGATACTTGTACCTGCATGCAGACTGTGTACTTGGTAAGCACTGATCAGTTTACTAGCAAACTCGTTCTGTCCAGCATAAAAAAGTATACAGTCACATGTATATGCTAAAACAGCACCCATATTCATGTGGATACAATTCATGGATAACAACTGCTTTTATACACTGACAATGAATTATCCGTGAATACAGAGTGCCTTTTAGAAAGTGGTCAAATGTATCATGTTATATTTTGGATTATACTTTCTCACCATAGGCGGATCCAAAGGGGTGTGCAGGTGTGCATCCCCCCTTTTGTGCTGAAAGTTTAAGTGACCATTGAAACTCGGGTGAAAATGAAGTGTGCACCCCTCCTTTTCTCAATAGTGTGCACCCCCCCTTTCTCAAAAAGCTGTATCCGCCCCTGCTCACTGAGGTACAGATTCACGTACTTTTTTGTTGAAGCATTTGTGACTATATCATAACCTTCAGGGTTTTACATGATATGCAGAGGTAGAGAAAGGACACAGAGGCAAAAATGTATTGCAACCCAAGATAGTCTGTCTCTCACTCCCTGAACCACATTATTTTCCCCTCTGCCTAGCCTTCTCTGCAGTGCTAAAGCCCAATTACATGAAGCAAGTCTAGATTTCCTCATGTCCTGAATCTCCCAATTCACTGGGGCTCCTATTCAGTTTATTTGTTACAATCCAAATTATTTACATTCAGGGATTAAGTATTATTGTACTGTCGGAAATAGAAAAAAACTGTTTTTAGGCTTTTACTCTGTATCCCTAAAATTTACACAATTGCAAATAGCATATGTCGAAATAACCCACTTCGGCCTAACTGGGCGTTCAGTGGGATGCGTAATACGATATCCAGAAAAGCATGTTTACTCGTAAAATCGGGCAAAACTTAGAAAAAAAATGAATAGCTGTTGAAAACAATAGGTCAGACTATAGATGGCAATTAGGTTGCTCAGCCAGGTATGACGACGGACTGTTGACTCACCTGGCATGAAATGCACGTGCTGGCTATAGGCACAAGGGGTCATCTCAAAGATATTTTAAGCTTTTTCATGTGTGTTGACAATGTCTCATCTATTGATTAACATCTAACGTGTCTTTCTTTCATATAGTTTATGTTGAGATATGTAAAGGAGTATGATACCCGAAAACCATAGAAACGCATCGTAGTATATAGGTGGCATGATCACCCGAAGTTGCCCTAAAGGATTATTTTATCTTAGCTGATATCTCTATCCCCAAGCCCAACCCCATGTTTTGCTTTTGAGACAACCCCTCCTATCTGGTTCTTTTTATAGTGACAGTGAGACTGCATGGTAGCTACATCCTTAATAGTTTCGGCATAAAAGTTATTATTTTTTACGTCAGCTATCGTTAATAATGAATCTACGTCTAATTTCAAATTGGGCATTTAAAAAGTGTCCTTTGTAATACAATATCGTCGCACACTAATTTGCATAAAGCCATGGTCTGTTCCAAATAAGTCTTTTTGGACTTAGAAAATAACCGCATTGCTCATTTCTGCACTAATTTCCCCTCAGTAAAGTCCCTTTCTCCGTTTCCTATCTCTCTACCACTGAGACTGTAGTTAGGCCGAACTTAGATTAACAGATATTTCACACTTTCACATATCAACTACATAAATTGTGGAGATAAATGAGAAAATACAGTTTTTTTCTATTTCCGACAGTACTTTAGTCTACACAAGGCAGGGCTTCAGATAATTTTTCAACATCAGGAGTACGTACTTCTTATTTTTCAATGTAGCAGTACTGAAAAACATAAGAGTACATTTAGAGTATTGAATTTAATGGAGTATCAGCAATCTTGTGTTACAAATAAAGCGTGCATACTCCTGATGCTGAAAAATTATCTCGAGCCCTGAGTTTCGTTTCATATGAGCACCACAACATTGCTTCACTTGTGTAAACAGGTCAATAAACAATAAAACAATACTTTGTTACAAAACTGTTTATTCAAAATGTTACAGTGGTCAGAAGGTCATTTCTAACTGAAATTGAAAGACTGAAATGTTTAAAATTAAATGCCATTTGTAGTAGGTTTATGCTACAACTTTAATTCCATAAACTATTCATCTCAGTCCTGGAATCCAAATTCAACAAATGTGAATAACATCTCCACCCATCATCATGATCATGCTATAGTTATGCTTCTTAGTGGCTGAAATTTGTACATCACACAATTCAGTAGTAGCCATAACATTGTGTTTCTTCGCGTTTTTACACTGTGAACAAAACAGTTTGCGATCACCTGTTTCAGTTACGGCGATTTCGAGCCATTTGTATGATGTTCGCCAATTCTTTTCCATTGTAGTTTGTAAGTTTGAACGCCTGTGTGACTATGACAAAACAAACAAGTGACACTAGTAAGCAGTTCGTTCATTATTTGTACAGGTATTTAATTCCTTGACTGTTTACAAGTCGTAGAAGCACAGTCTTGTTTCTGAAAGAAACTTTTAATTTGTTTCTGTGCCATCATGTCCACATGCGCATGCCCTATTTTGACCAATCAAATTTAACCAACATGATTCGCTGATTCATTTAGCACCAGGGATTCCCAAAACATGACAAGGGAACACCCTATGTGTCACTATCACCTAAATTCTAAGGTGGGACACTCTTGAGTTGAAATCAGATTGATATGTTTTAGATAAATACGTCTGTAAATGATTCTAAGACCGTACACCATTGCTGTAGTGCGTATCTGCTACGTTTTCTAAATTATTTCCTACCGTATCATGCATATTTATTATCCGTACAAACACTGATATGGCCTTTATATGGAGCCATGCAAAATGTTTCCACTGTATCTCAGGTTAAGGGAGAGGGAAGCAAATATAATGAGTCAGGACCAGGAAAAATTTATTTTATTCAGAGATTAAGTGTTACTCTAACCAATGGGTAATACAATGCCTAAGAACTATGTCATTTGAGATATCTGCCACTGCTTTGAGCACAAAAGGCCTGTGAACAGCAGGGTAGTCTGTCATACAGACATACCCCGGGTACCCAATGCAACCGATGAAAGTGTGGAGTATGTGGCAAGATTACCAAAGTTTCTGAAAATGAAGAAAGACTCCGGGTTCCTTTAATTATATTTTATGAATATGATTTAGAAACTGTTTTTTTCTGTAAAATATGTTCATTTCAGAGACTATATATAAGTCTAACAGCAGAGGTTCTTTTGCTTCCGTCAGACAAGATGATGACTTTGATGAGAAAACAAGTCTATATTTCCTCAGGTTCAGGCTGAATCTTGTGTCTCACTGGGGCTCCTTTCAGTTTCTATGGAGTTATTCAGTTCTATCAGAAATATATTTTCAAAGACATTAGGCTACATTCTTTAAAACACTGCTGGTTGTTTGCAGGCCTCTGCCAAGGATCAGGTTGTGAAGATTTGTGAAGAGGCATTCCTTCTTCGCCATAAATCGCCACGCAATGTGCCCGACAATGTGGTCAACAGCACTGCGGAGAAGTTAGGAGTGGATAAGAACAGCAGTCGATCTGTGAGTATCATGTTCCTGATATTCAGGTGGATCAGGTGACTGATGGTTGCAAGTCATCATTGTTCATAATATCAATCTCTAGATTGTCTAGACAAAATAGGGCGGCAGGCGGCGGGCGGGCCTAGTGGTTAAGATATTCGCTGGTGTGCTCACCGTGATATTTGCTGGAATATTGCTAAAGGTGGCATAAACCTAAACTCACTCACTCTAGACCAATCTGTTACTGACAAGCTGCCATCATACTGCTAAATATTGATAAATGCTGCATTAAACAACAAACAGTATCATCACCAACTGATACATCTCTGTGATTTCTGGAATAGTTAAGACAGTTTCAGACCAGTAGGATATTACATGGCTAGTTTTAACAGTGAGTTGTGGTTTTCAGCTTTATTTAATAAGCAGAACTCAGAGAGAAAGAAAATTGCCGGAGTGGTGAGATTTGATTTCAGAACAAGGCCCTGTTGGTGATTTTGGAAGACAAAATTGTTACCTGTTTTCTAATTATTGCCATAGACAAAAGAGGACAGGTGCTTCTGTCGAACTTGTCATTTCAGGCTTTATGTCTGAGCATAACTAAAAACTTGTTCACTATTTTTTTATCAAATTTTTACAGATATCAGTCTACCATATACTGATGCCTTATGCTATATAGGAAGTTTTTATTGTTTTTGTTATTCTGGCATAAATGAGCCTGATCATGATGATGACAACATTCCAATCAATGACGTATTGAAGAGCTGTTATTATTTCTTCAGTCATCAATGAAGTGGTTCTGAAGCTCACTCGAATATTTTGGACATTTGATCTTTTATAGTGTTTCTAATTCTGTTACCAGAAATAGAACCCCCCAGTGTATTCATTTTTAACTTCTCCAAGTGATGTCCAAGTGACACCAGTACTGTGATAGATAAGGGGATACCAGACAGTTATGAGTATATGAGTCCATTTTAGTGACTTCATAGCACTAACCCATGAAGATCCGGGTTAGAATTGGTCTTCAGTAACCCATGCTTGTCGTAAGAGGCGACTAACGGAATCGGGTGGTCAGGCTGGCTGACTTGGTTGAAACATGTCATCGTATCCCAATTGCGTAAATCGATGCTAATGCTGTTGATCACTGGATTGTCTGGTCCAGATTCAATTATTTACAGAGAGCTGCTATATAGCTGGAATATTGCTGAGTGCGGCGTAAACTAAACTTGCTCACCCACTTCATAGCACTAGCAGAGCTTACTGGAGACATGTACTTACTTGGCATGTCTTGACACCTCTAAAGTTTAAGACAGCTGATATTCAACGGTCTTGTGTTCCAGCTCCTCGTAAGCCTGGGGCATGTGATCTCCTCAGCCATTTTCCTCGGTTCCTCCGACCCCAAGACAATCATCACCATCTTTCCAGGTACAGTCTCTCACCAAAGCTTCTCTACACAACTAGATGGGACACGGGAGCACAGTATGGGCAGTTTTTATGCCCCCACCATATATGGCTTGGGGCATATAGGGTTACCCTCCGTGTCCGTCCGTCCGTTTGTACGTACAAAACAAGGAATGTACTCTATCCACTTCTCCACAAAAAACGCTCTGTGGAATTCAATGAACTTATACATGGGCTTTCTTGGGACTCTAATGGTGTACATCTCATCTTTGTTTTTGTATTTTATTGGTTGTTTTTGTAAGTTTAGAGACATTTGAACTTAGGTACATTTTGCTGAATTTCTCTATGATGATAGTGTAACAGGGGATGAAGTCTATCCACTTCTCCACAAAAACTACTCAACAGAATTGAATAAACTTCTACATGTCTTTCGTAGGGACTCTAAAGGTGTGTATTTCATAATTTTTTATGCAATTTCTTAATTTTGTCACTTTTACAGATGTTTGAACTTAGTTGAAATTTGCTCTATTCAGCCTGTTCGTTCCATACAACAGGGGTACTCTTTATCCATTCTCCTCAAAAACCACTGCACAAAACTCATTTAGCTTACATGTCTTTTATAGAGACTCTAAAGATGTGCATCTCATATTTTGTTTTTGTATTTTATATTTTTTTTGTATGTTTAGGAGACATTTGGACTTAGATAAATTTTGTTGAATTTCTCTCTGATGATAGTAAAATAATGCATTAGGTCTATCCACTTCTCACCAAAAACTGCTCAACAGAATTGATTAAGCTTATACGTGTGTTTCATTGGGACTCGAAAAGTGTGCATCTCATAGTTGCATAGATGTTTATTGAACTTGTTCGTGAATTTTGTTCAATTATTGATCTTTATATGATAATAGGTTGTGTTATCTAACCCCTCAACACATTGTTTTTAGTGTTTTCAAGTACTTCAGTGGGACCCTGAATGTGTGAACTCTTCCTACAGCAGCGGGGGCATCCGTGTCCCTGGACACAATTTTTTCTTGTTTTAATTAGTATTGATAAAACATCTCACTGTTAGGCCAGATGGGTTTATTTTTCTTTCTTCCTTTCTTCTTTAATTTTTGTGCCTTGATTCAATTGTAGGTCAGAATTTTTCAAAATGTACACTTTTAAATTTCAAGATCATTCAGCGTGTTGTGAATTGTTTGGGACATTTTTTAAACAAGTTTTAATTATAATTGAATAATGTCTACATATAGTTTGATGTCGATAGTTTTTAAAACATTTAACATATTTGTGTTCGGAGGGAAATTCAAGGTGTAGCCTCACTAACATAGTTATCAATGGACATTATTGTAATGTAGAAACTTAAACAGTTCACCTGTTTGCATGTCATTCTGCTGTGGGATTCCAGGTTCAAATGGATTCCTTTAATCTGTGGATGCCTATGCTGGATTGCATATCGTCATATTCTGACAGTACATTACTGTTAATATCAATTACTCATTTGATCCTATCACTGTATACAGGGTCATGAGCTGCACTGAAGTAGGAAATGTAAGCCCTGCATCATTTGTATGTTTTTTGTGTTTTCCTCCCAAAATGAGATGACAACACTCAGTCATTGAGATACTGTACAGTGCTGCATCCCATCTCGCCAACAAGCCCAGTTTACACGCTGAATTATCTCCCCTTGCTTTATCAACTGCTTACTGAATACAGGTTTGTCTAAACTATTTATGGGGCGGTGGGGTAGCCTAGTGGTCAAAGCGTTCCCTCGTCATGCCTAAGACCCGGGTTCGATTGCCCACATGGGTTCAATTTGTGAAGCCCAATTCTTGTGTCCCCTACCGTGATATTGCTGGAATATTGCTAAAAGCGGCATAAAACTAAACTATTTATCTCACTTTGGTGTTTACTTCCAGACAATTTCCACAAGAACCTGCGTGACCTGCTGACAAAGATCTTTATTGACCATATGGCGGGATGGAAGACTCAGGCAGCTGGAGGACTTGGTGAGTGAGTGACTGAGTGAGTGAGTTAATATTTAATGTCACGTCAACAATATTTCCGCCATACCATGATGAGACGTGGTTAGTAGCTGGCAATCCTTGGTAACTGTTCTGACTGATGTCCAGTTAGATGGTTGTTTCTTGTTTTGTTTGAACACATTTTATTTAGAATTGAAAGGGATTGGGCACAAGTTATTCAACTTGTTAAAACCCGCTCCCGAAAATTACATGGAATTTACATAGTTGTTTCTTGCTTTACGCCGCACTCAGCAATATTCCAGCTATATGGCGACTGTCGTTAAATAATCTAGTCTTGACCTGACAATCCAGTGATCAACATCATGAGCGTCAAACTATGAAATTGGGATATGATGACATGTGTCAACCAGTTAGAAGATAACCATCTATGGTTTCACATTTGAGTTAGTGAGTATTTGAGGCCTTGAAGTATCATTAGGAACTAACAGTCTTGGCGCATTGATATTGTAAATATAAACATTATTTGCAATTATCTGTAGGTGTCTATCTGCACATGGACACTCACAGCTGTTAGACAGCCATAACATCACACTTGAATACAGTGACATCATTCTTGAATGCTGTGACATCACCTTTGAATACAGTGACATCACGCTTGAATGCTTTGACATCACGCTTGAATGCTATGACATCATGCTTGAATGCTGTGACATCACACTTGAATACAGTGACATCATGCTTGAATGCTGTGACATTATGCTTGAATGCTGTGACATTATGCTTGAATGCCGTGACATGCTTGAATGCTGTGACATCACACCTCAGTACAGTGACATCATGCTTGAATGCTATGACATCACACTTGAATACAGTGACATCACACACTTGAATGCCGTGACATCATGCTTGAATGCTGTGACATCACACTTGAATACAGTGACATCATGCTTGAATGCTATGACATCACACCTGAATGACATGACACTCGAATGCTATGACATCATACTTGAATGCTATGACATTATGCTTGATTGCCATGACATCATGCTTAAAGAAGTTGTATTTTTTAAAATTCAGATTCCTATTTGTAGAACAGGCTTGGCCAACTTGTTACAACCTGTAGAATGTTGTATTCTCTTTTCAGTTTCTCTTCCCAAAATGGTGGACTTTGACTGGCGAGTAGACGTCAAGACATCGTCTGATACTGTGGCCAGGATGTCGGTGCCAACATGTATATTAAACATGCAAGTAAGTTGTTTCTAAGAACATAATTTCATTGGATGGATCAGGTGGTAAGGTTCAGGGATTACTTGTCATTGTACCCCTGTTTTAGGGATCATAGCTCACAATATCGATCACTGGATGATCTGGTCCAGACATAGTAACATGCAGACCAGGGCCCCATTTCACAAAGCTCTTGTAAGCCTAAGATCTCGTAACTTTTCTCATAGCATTCGTACCTCCTATGTTGTTACAGTATTTGGAGGTACGAATGCTATGAGAAAAGTTATGAGATCTTAGGCTTACGAGAGGTTTGTGAAACGGAGCCCAGGGCCCCACTGCACAAAGCTATCTTAGAGCTGAGGGGGACGTAACTCCCATACTTTAACATAGGCTAGTTGTAGTGGTAATATTGCTACTATGAACATTCGATAACTGCAGGCTGAACTCCATATTGTTCAGAGCGGGATGTAACACATTCATTCCATTTGTCATAACTCTGCTGCACCTTCTTCCATCAGATCCAAGCAAATTCGTTTTTGAGAATTTCTTTTGTTTGCTTTTGTGTTTTAACAAACAATATATCCAACTGAAGGCTTTCCTCCCAAGTCACACATACAAGCCATGATGTAACTTAAATACTGTTCAGAGCGGCACTCACTCACTCAACTTCTGCCGTCAGGTTCAAGCTACAGCTACAGATGTGGGGATTGTGCCAGATGTGTCCAGTGTTAATGTAGAACTGTCAAAGGAGACACTAGACACCATGTTGGATGGACTATCGAAGATACGAGACCAGCTGTCGTCAGTAGCAAGCAGATGAGTCTGGCAGACATTAGCAGCTCAATGTTGGAGAATATGTGGCTTCATTTTCTGACCAAAGTTCACAAATACTTCCATTTCTAAGAATGTACCATATTTATATGTTTATTTCTACCATGTATTGTATATTTGTAAAGTATATAAATACGTCATGAACATATATGTTGTCTTTTTTATATATGTCTCTATGATGCAGACAGAGACATCGCAAGAGAGTGCAACAATTGAGCTAGATCACAATCTGGGATGCAAGTGTGTTGGTCAGGTTAAATGCTGTTATTGCGTAGTATGACCAAGGGACATAACTCAGCATGAGTGAGAGAGCACCACTTGGCAATATGCAAGGCAAATGAGAGGAGCCCAAATCAGGACCAGTTTGATCCCCATGGGGAAGTAAAGCTTCGAGTCTTAACACCAATCAACTTTTTAGTCACAAACATTTTCTTTCCTGATCGAAGGGTGAAAAGGGACCCAAGGAAGACTCAATGTGTCGTCTTTGTAACCCAATACTAATGTTTGTAGCAAGACAGTGATAAGAATCCCTTCACACAAATTGTCCAGTGTTTGTGGAAAGACTTCTTTAATACATTTCACAGTTCTGTCAAAGAAGTAGTTACAGAACAGACCGCCCCCGTGGTGTAGTGGTTAGAGCGTCCGCCCAGAGAGCGGAAGGTCGCGGGTTCGATCCCCGGCTGCGTCATACCAAAAGACGTTAAAATATGGTACTTGTTGGTCCCTGCCTGGCGCTCGGCATTAATGGGTACAACAAGGACTGGTTGGCTCGGAGTCTGTATAATGTGTCTGAGTGAGGTATCCATGCTTCACTGTGGCATGGTATCTCAGTGAGCTAGCACTATAAAACCAGCTTCAGTCTAGGCTAGTACAAGCAGCCGCACCTACATATACACACGCATGCACGTTGTCATATGAGCGAAATATTCTCAAGCAGGACGTTAAACCCAATTTCACCTCACCTCACCAGTTACAGAACATAAAACAGTTAAAAGCAGAGTTACTAGCCCACAAAATAATTCACTGGCTCGAAATTTGAATGTAGATATGGGTTCATCATTAAGCTGCTAATATGATGAACACTTTTGTCAGGCCATAATCTTGCATGATTTAAATGTATTATAACTTAACAAGTCGGAGAGAGTGCTATATTTACAAAATGACCCCCATGAAAAAAACTCTAGTCAGTCGGGCCAGTGGCTGTGCAGATTTACTGGCCCAACTGGATGTTCACAAGCCACGGGCTAGCGGACCAGTGGCTATTTCACACTCTGGGTGGCGGCAGGTTCCGCATCAGGGTTCGCTGGCAGCCAGGTGAGACATGTCAATCTGTTTGTAGTACAGATGTCAGCATGTTAATGATCAAATCTGGACCAGGTAAACATGTAGCATTATACACTGAGGCAGGGAGATCATGGTTGATTGTAGCACCATCATTCCTAACAAACAATGAACAAACTATGATTAGAACGGTTTCTATCTTCATTTTACTAACTGCACCAGCTAATTGTGAAGGCATGCAGAGTTACTCCCCTTTGACCTGCTCAAAGTGTCAAATTCAGCCCAGTGCTCCATTTGTATTTCTATCTCCCTTTATCACACACTTACAAATTTTACATATAATGGAACAAAATTCTGACCTGCAATTTACAGAATTTCCACTGGAAAATATTCAAGCAGATTTTCTGTTAATCATTCCTGAGGATCAAAATTTTTATTTCGAAATTAATATGTGGCCAGATATCAAGATTTTCAAATTAATAGCTTTCATTAGCATTACTAAAGAACCAAGTTTATATCCTATCCTACTAACATAATCAACTTCTTATATTTTAGACACATGAAAAAAGGATTATTCTCTTGGATGTTCACAAGAACAAGTAGGGTTGATCGTTCTATTTGGGAGCACACTATCTCAGTGAAAGACAGATTCTAGTACTTTTTATATTTTCAGTTGAGAGCCATCTGTGATTCAAACCCACATTCTCAGAGTCAGGTACCAGATCGCCACCACACAGCATCGGTGATGTAACCCGATCAGTCACTGCGGCCTCCATGTCTGACAAGTGGTAGTCTTGATCACATACTTTGTGTACACCCCTTTCAAATGTAATAGATCTTGCCCCCATGACTGGAAGCTATGAATACACAATGCCATTTAGAAAGTGGTCAAAGGTAACACATATGATTTGTGATTACACTTTCTCAGTAAAGAACAGATTCTAGTAGAGTCTGGTGAAACACCCCCACACACATGTATCGTGCCAGCATAGAAATAATTGGGTGAGTGAGTGAGTTTAGTTTTACGCCACACTCAGCAATATTACAACTATATGGTGGCGGTCTGTAAATAATCGAGTCGGGACCAGACAATCCACTTATCAATAGCATGAGCATTGATCTACGTAATTGTGATAGGATGACATGTGTCAACCAAGTCAGCGAGCCTGACCACCCGATCCTGTTAGTTGCCTCTTACGACAAGCATGGGTTACTGAAGGTGATTTAAATGTATTATAACTTAACAAGTCGGAGAGAGTGCTATATTTACAAAATGACCCCCATGAAAAAAACTCTAGTCAGTCGGGCCAGTGGCTGTGCAGATTTACTGGCCCAACTGGATGTTCACAAGCCACGGGCTAGCGGACCAGTGGCTATTTCACACTCTGGGTGGCGGCAGGTTCCGCATCAGGGTTCGCTGGCAGCCAGGTGAGACATGTCAATCTGTTTGTAGTACAGATGTCAGCATGTTAATGATCAAATCTGGACCAGGTAAACATGTAGCATTATACACTGAGGCAGGGAGATCATGGTTGATTGTAGCACCATCATTCCTAACAAACAATGAACAAACTATGATTAGAACGGTTTCTATCTTCATTTTACTAACTGCACCAGCTAATTGTGAAGGCATGCAGAGTTACTCCCCCTTTGACCTGCTCAAAGTGTCAAATTCAGCCCAGTGCTCCATTTGTATTTCTATCTCCCTTTATCACACACTTACAAATTTTACATATAATGGAACAAAATTCTGACCTGCAATTTACAGAATTTCCACTGGAAAATATTCAAGCAGATTTTCTGTTAATCATTCCTGAGGATCAAAATTTTTATTTCGAAATTAATATGTGGCCAGATATCAAGATTTTCAAATTAATAGCTTTCATTAGCATTACTAAAGAACCAAGTTTATATCCTATCCTACTAACATAATCAACTTCTTATATTTTAGACACATGAAAAAAGGATTATTCTCTTGGATGTTCACAAGAACAAGTAGGGTTGATCGTTCTATTTGGGAGCACACTATCTCAGTGAAAGACAGATTCTAGTACTTTTTATATTTTCAGTTGAGAGCCATCTGTGATTCAAACCCACATTCTCAGAGTCAGGTACCAGATCGCCACCACACAGCATCGGTGATGTAACCCGATCAGTCACTGCGGCCTCCATGTCTGACAAGTGGTAGTCTTGATCACATACTTTGTGTACACCCCTTTCAAATGTAATAGATCTTGCCCCCATGACTGGAAGCTATGAATACACAATGCCATTTAGAAAGTGGTCAAAGGTAACACATATGATTTGTGATTACACTTTCTCAGTAAAGAACAGATTCTAGTAGAGTCTGGTGAAACACCCCCACACACATGTATCGTGCCAGCATAGAAATAATTGGGTGAGTGAGTGAGTTTAGTTTTACGCCACACTCAGCAATATTACAACTATATGGTGGCGGTCTGTAAATAATCGAGTCGGGACCAGACAATCCACTGATCAATAGCATGAGCATTGATCTACGCAATTGTGATAGGATGACATGTGTCAACCAAGTCAGCGGGCCTGACCACCCGATCCTGTTAGTTGCCTCTTACGACAAGCATGGGTTACTGAAGGTCATCACAGGTCAGCCTTGCATTGTAATGAACATCGACAACCAACTGCACACTAGGCTGAAGGCTTCATTGTACAGCACATTCTAACCTCAGCATATACAGTCAAATCAGAATATTGACATATTAAAGTAAACTTTAAAACTGAAGACAAATGTTTTTAAAACAAGATTTATTCACGACAGAATTCATGCATTATGGCAATACGTGACGACAAATTTGGACACACTTGGATAAATATATATTGTCAAAGGCACATCCATTGTATGCAGATATATGCACGACAGTCAACAGTTACCTCCCTTTAATTAAACATTTCCGATATGTTGCCACAAACTGTTCAAGATCGCCTGGCATTTTTCAAATGTTCTCCAAAACTAATACAATCTGGTATGTGGTAAGATAATATACCTTTCTATCAGTAGGACCTACAAAATTCCATGTCCTCATGGTATTTTCAACATTTCCTCCCCAAAATTCAAGTCCATTTTGTTACATTTTCCCCATGCTGATTGGCTAAGCCATGTCACCTGTCCAAGCAAACACCATTCAGTAGTTTGTGTTCAGCTTCAGGAACCACAGTCAAATGTTTTAAATGTGTAGTGCATAGACCGGTCTGGTATTATGCTGCTTTTAGCAATATTCCATAGCGAGTGACATTAGAATGGGCTTCATACATTGTACACGTGGGGAACTGAACCTAGACCTGCAGCATGACAAAGGGAATGCTTTAACAAATAGACTACACCAATGCCACAGAGTTTGTGGGAGTTGTTGTTTTCTATCTCCAATGTTTGTCTTGTTTGTTAGCTGGTTCACCAGTCAGCAATATTCCATCCACAACAGCCTCCAAATAATCAAATCTTAATAAACAGTGGTTGATACAAGAGCAGCATCCCAAACACATGACCAGCCAAGTCAACCACCCAGTCCAATCGCCTGATATGGCAAGCATAGGTGTGGGGAGATATTCTTAAGTGCTTCTCACTTGCATATATTTCTAGCTGCTCATTAAAGAAAAACAATTTTGGCACAATATTCCAAAAATAAATTGAACCCATCCTGCCATTTGGGAGGAAAATAGTATGTAACATAAGATAATGATCTTCATCCTCACTTAAAAGAAAATGTATTTAACAGTACCTTATCGTGACGTTCGAAATAGCTGATGTATGAAAGTAAGATGTGACTTCACCCACACTATTTCAATAACCCATCCATACAAAGAGGTGGGAAGCCCACAGTGTTATTTAGTCTGCATCGTCACAGGCGGATCCGGAAAGGGAATCCCTTGTCCTGAAAGTTTGTTAAACGACCATTTCAGGTGAAGCCCACTACCATGGTTAAACTGCTGCCAGTCCAAGGATCATAATCTTGGCAATCCAAACAATCAGGAGATCCTGGTGCAGCCAAGGGACAGAGCTATTCTGCCAAGAAATATTTTGCATCTTAAACTAATCCGCCAACCACCAGCAAGACAGCACTAAATTTTTAAAAAGCATAATATATATATACAGTATACATCTGAGGTATCATTTATTGACATTCATTTTGTCGCAGCAAAAAACTATTTGAATTTTTACAAACCGAAAGCACTTACAAATTTATTTTCATATAACAGGCGTTCATGAAAGCATTCTTAGCATAACTCCCATCATTTATCAAAGACTTTGACAACTGTCATCATGCTGTGATCATCTAAGGGTCCTGGTAAATGAAACTACCAAACTCACCGGGAGCTAAGCATAACATTCCTACTTCAGTCACCGGAATCTCTACAGTAAATCTATGTTTAGAGACCATGACTATGCCATACATGAGTGTTGGGCTGAAAACTCAATCAAGTCTATCGTGACAAAATCTATACTTAACAACATTAAAACAATGCATAACTATTAATATATATACATATATTTTCACAAATGACAAAGCCAGATAAATTATATGTTCTTAAATTTCAAATCTGTAACACTGACTTTTCCTTGATTACAGAAAAATCAAAAAGAAGAAAAATATATTAATGATTTAAAAAACATTCACCAACAACAATTCAATAGTTCAGTAGTTAATTTGTGAAGGAACTATTGTGAAGAACTATTCTGGAGTTTTAAATCTTCTTTTGACTAGAAAACATAATATTTTCACTGATCTGAACATTTCTCCTTTTCTATTTTCCCACCCCCATTCAGCCAATTTTGTCTAAGGAATCTGTACTAAAAGAAAAAAATATATCTGGCCCAATAAATAAACATCAAGTTCTCAAGTGAAAATGAGAAATAGGCACAATTTCAAATCAACAAAACATGGCACAGCGTCATCAATTCTATCATAAAAATATTTCAACAATATGAATACTCATAACGTGTTCCATCAGTGCTATTGTCACTGCCAATGATGCTAACTTAACAACTGATACATAGACAACGTGGCAAGACATACCACACCCATCCAGATATTAATATCCTGAATGGGGCGGTGGAGTAGCCTCGTGGTTAACACGTTTGCTCGTCACGCCAAGGACCCGGGTTCAATTTCTGGTGTCCCCCCCGGTGATGTTGCTGGAATATTGCTAAAAGCAAGGTAAAACTATATTCACTCACTCACTCATATCCTGAACATTTCAATGAAGTCCGCCACTAGTGTTGGGAATCGGAAACCAAATCCACTATCGATTATCAGAGGACTTGTGGTGAACGATTATAATCGAAATATATACGTTTTTAATGTAATCACCAATTTTAAGGAGTTTTCCCCAGATTTTTTCTGATTAATGTTTTTCATAGCTAATACTGTCATGCAATGAAATGCACACATGCAAGAAAGACACTGGAAATAAAACAATAAAAGTGGTTAAAATTTTACAATGCACATAGCTTTATGCTGTTGAGCGCATGTTTGTTCGTGAATATTCGTCAAAATTAATGGTTAGTTTACTTTGTTCAAGTGTGTTATACTAAAACAACAAAATTCCAATTAATCGAAAATATGTCTTTTACAATCGATAATCTCTTTTAATCCTTCTTTCAATCGATTTTCGACTATTTTCGATCATCAGAACACCACTATCCACCACCTGAAGATTTCAATGAAATCCTTTATTCCCTCAACATACTGTGTAGTGGATAAGTCAGGGGCACTTCTTCATCTCTTTATCATTGAATTTATGTCCTCAAAGTAAACAATAACATTTAACATTATTCTGAAATATAGCCCCTTTACAAGTAAACAAACACCCAAATCTTCACCTGACATCAGTGAGGGAGTGAGTTTAGTTTTACGCCGCTTTTAGCAATATTCCAGCAATATCACGTCGGGGGAACACCAGAAATGGGCTTCACACATTTTACCCATGTGGGGAATCGAACTCAGGCCTTTGGCGTGTCAAGTGAACACTTTACCCCCACTGGGCTACCTCACCAACCCCATGACATCAAAGCATCACATATGCAAGATCTGTGCAGACGGTAACAGCAGCAAGAGTGAGAGGTTTTCTAGTAGGCTAGTCACTTGTGACCGTCTGCTATCCGGTGACCGTGTTATTATCAATCAGTTGGGGTCTGAAAGGACTGATACTTGTATATATCACCAATGGGAAGTCTTATCAACAATTATTGATATGAAAACTATGTCATCAAAATATTGTACATAAACTATAGAGATGAAATTAATTCATAATTTACACACACGATACACAAAGTTTTATTTATGTGCTGCTTCAAAAGCACGTTAATGGCACTGTGTTTATAGATAATCCATGCACAAATGTATCACCACTCACCAGTGATGTGATATATCTTGATTTCTTTTTTGCATTTTTGCATTTTTGCGATATTAGGTTAATGAAAATCGACCTCTGTGGAACCTCTGTTTATCTTGGAAGAAGCCTTCTGGAAAATTCCCCCGAGGACAAGCATCAACACAGAAAGGGGCATAACTCTGTATTTTTTATCCTTTGATATCAATACTTTCACCAGATGTATTAACTGAAAGATTCTTGGATCTAGTGAGACATGACACACGGGTTCAAAAATCCCATCACCCGACGCCCGGAACAAGTCAGTTTTCATTTCGGGCAATCAAATAATGGTATCTTACTTGTCCGTGGGCTACTAGATACTAGTTTCAAACTGCAAATATACTTGGATTTCATTAATTTTCATATCTGCTCAAAATGCAGCTATTAAATTTTGCAATGATAATTAAGTAGAGTTATCCTTCTTTGCTATTTATAACTTCTCGATAAATAGTCCAGTAAACATTAACATCAAATACCATGTTGATTTATTCTTTCATAATTACATCAACATAATTATGTCATAAAATCAGGGCAAGTGGAAAATTAGCCAGGACAAGTAACTTTCTTAAAGTGACTTGCCCTGTGGCAAGTGGCTTTAAAAAACAAATTTGAACCCCTGATGACATCATTGAGGCAGCTTGAGAAAGTGCAGGGATCATGATTGGATCGTGAATAAGTGAGTATGACGATAAAACATAAACCAGGTCACTCACCGCAGCAAACACACACTGACTAGTCAACTGTTGTGACAAGCCTGCGAACACTGGGAACCTATGCTGGCTAGGGGACCGTTCATTATTTATGGCTAGGGTGATGATGATTTTTATGGAGAAGCATGTACATTGTGAATGACACCCCAAGAACATTTATGTACAAAGTAAGTGACCCCCCTGCATGTCATGTACAAAATCAGTGACACCCCCCTAGTATATGTGTACAAAACTGATGACTCCACTACCTCCCCAGAACAAAATGGGTGCCCCCTTCCCTTCAAATCATCATCACCCCCCTAGCCATAAATTATTAATGGTCCCTAAAGGCTTTATGCTGTTTAAATTTTTAAATTTGAACATGAACACATACATCTGTTGTTTAACTTCAGCATCCTTGTTTATCACATCATATCTATTCGACAAAGCTTTGTCTTTGAACATATACAAAATATATACTTACATAAATATATAATTTTGTTACAAACAAGCAACTATATTTAAATTAAAAAGGAGCCCCATTGACTTTCAGAACCTGTAGTATATCTACACTTGCATCATCTAGTGTTTTAGCATTAAATAGCAGGGTGAAAGGGAAAATGGATCAGGACCGTGAGAACGTACAATCTGTTATAAATATCTGTAACCAATCACTGAGTCATCTTATTATCCTATTTTTAAGCCTGTTTAACTTACATGAAACAAAAATGTGAGCAATTTGAATGTGGTAGGTGTCAGGCATTATAAACATCTTCATGACAGCAAAGAAAATAGCAGGATTTTTACGCATTTAATTAATTGAAAATTTTAACTAAATTCCCTAATTCATACAAATTCACAAGAACATTTCCTGAACTACCTACATACTAATATTGGAGCAGAAATAGAATAGCACAGACAGCTGTTGGCAGTGATGAGAAGATGAATAAGACAGAAAATTTAAAAGCTTATAACATATTAATTCAAAATGTCTCAGTTAAAGTATCACAATTACTTTCGGACATGAATCAGGGAATTATCTATATTCCAAACGAAGCATCCTCGAATGACAAATTGAGATTTTAAAAAAAATAATTAATATTTGAAATGTATTTATTTGTCTTTCCTAATGTCAAAGGTAATAAACATGAATGTTTATTCAAAATTTGCATGTAAAGTAATAATGTAAGCAAGGCCTTATATTGGACTTGATATCGGTGTAGCTAATGCCAGCCTCATTCTGTTGGAAATATGAGATAAATATGGCGAGCAGACGTACTGGATAACGACATGTTTGGCTTGTCATTCTCGTCGACACATTTCCCAGATAATTATCACCTGCTTATTTTACAAACTAGATATACACATAAACAGCTCCAGTACTAATTTACAGGATCTGAAAGCAATTAAACAGAAGTCACAGGTCTGTATCTCCATCGAGACAGTTCTGGAAAACATGACATTGTCCCATTGCCAAATCAACATGAACACTAGCAATTTGTTGACAGAATCTTGAAGTAACATCCATCACAATCTTCTCACAAGGGAGCTCCCACACAAACAAAGCATCCTTTAGAATACAGTGTGTAAAGTCCAGGGAGCCATGTTGTTGATCTTCTGCTACATGGCTCCCACACCAAAACACTTACTCCAGGCAAACCCAGAATTTGAAAACAAGAGGGGTGCTTATGATTCTTAAGTCACAAAGTGACTTTGTCATGGGTAGGGTTAAAATGTAGGTATCAGAAACAACAGGTTGCACATCCCTTCACCTTCCCTTTGGATCTAAGTTTAGTCCCAAAGGTGTATTTCTGAAAGAGGAACACATTGTGTTTGGAGGAGCACTTTCGTTATCATGACTGTCCCACAAAACCATCATGCCAACCTGTCTCCCTTAGTTGGTACATGTCCCCTGTCTTCAATCTGAGGTGTCTAACAGCTTAGTGTTTAATCAAACATGTCCTGTTTCTTAAACTGAACGTCAGTTTGTGTCCGGAGGAACATCTCCCATTCCTCTAAAACTGAAGAGAAGCCTCAGTTTGCTTGAACAGCTCTTGTGCTCTCAAACCTTTTACGAGCTTTTGTTGGTCAATGTTTGGTGGAATCTCCCCTGCCTCAAACTGAAAAGCCTCACTGGTCAGTCAGTGATCACAATCTTTAAGGAGGCCATGCTTTACATTCTGGCTCACAGCCCAGGTCTAATTGTTGTCATATTGTCACACTGACACTGTCTCTGCCGGTTTATGGTATTTAACAAATACACTGATATCTGTCATAGAATCCGAGTTAGCACTCAAAGTGATGTTTGAATAGCTTGAATCATATTTCCAACAGTTGACAAATTGGCTCAATCCTAGTCCACAATGAGGGTGAGGTAATATCCATCTTGATGCCAGACCAAAACACAAGAGTCATCATTTGGGATATTGATTATCAACACTTTGTCAAGGGCTTGAGAATCAGCTCAGTGCTCGCTTTCATGTGTCGGTGAATTTGACTGGCTGATGGATTCAGAGAACAACTTAGGTTTCGGTTTAATTCGGTCTTCGGGGCCAGTAAGCATCCACAACAGATCCTTGTACTGACTTGGCCAAGTGTATTTGAGTGTCCTCTGTAGCCATGATGGAAGGTACTGCTCATCAGAGCTCTGGAACAGCACTGGGACGAACCTGGTGTTCTTGGCCTGGTCTCTGTACTCTTTAAGCATCTGTGAGTAAATGTAGCGGGTGTGGAGCTGGCTCTCGGGCATCATCCCATTCTTGCACTGTTCCTGCGCCTCAATCTCTGACTTATATTTAGCAGACGGACACACTAGGATGAAGTCAGACTGAAAAGAGATGAAGATGAATGTGAATGGAAGAGTTAACGTGATAATGTGAAGAAATCAATGAAATATTTGGCTGGAGGTTTGTTTGTTGTTGAATGCCTTACTGTGGAATATTCCAGATAATATAGACTTGATATCATCAGCAATCTTCCTCTCCATCTGGGAATGATGGCAGGCTATCAACAAAATCTGAGTGAGTGCGTTGGGTTTTACGCTGCTTTCAGCAATATTCAAGCAATATCACGGCGGGGGACACCATAAATTAGCTTCACACATTGTACTCATGTGGGGAATCCAACCCAGGCCTTTGGCATCATGAGCGAACAATTCAAACACTTGGCTACTCCACTGCCCCTCAACCAAGTCTGACAACCTAATAAATTTTGTCATCACATAGAACAAACATAAAGGTAGACTGTATATAGATTGATACAGTTTCAGAGAAGATGAAAACATAAAATGCTTCATTTCAAGCAGTAAGTGAGTTGGGTTTTACGCCGCTTTTAGCAACATTCCAGCAATATCACGGCGGGTAACACCAGAAATGGGCTTCACACGTTGTAGCTATGAAAGGAATAGAACCCAGGTCTTTTGACAAGCGAAAGCTTTACCCACAAGGCTATGTGGTTACTATCAAAGTAACAAATCAATCAGATTTAATAACCTCGAGACTACAGTATATGTCTTGATTTTAATAAATCCTAAAATTGAGACTACTAAGAGAGTATATGTCTTGATTTATACATCAGCAAATCCTAAAATTGATACATCAAAATAAATTAATTTAAGAGAAGTGACCCTCTGACCCGCCATTCAAAAAGAGTGAGTGAGTGAGTTTAATTTTTTTAAATAACCTCAAGACTACCGATTTTATGTCTTGATTTATACATCAGATTAAATAAAAACCTCAAGACTACTAGAGTATATATGTCTTGATTTATACATCAGCCAATCCTAAAACGGATAAAAATAAATTAATTTAAGAGAAGTGACCCTCTGACCCGTCATTCAAAGAGTGAGTGAGTGAGTTTAATTTTCGCGATTTTACGCCAGATTTTAGCAATATTCCAGCAATATACATCAGCACGGGGGACAATTAATTTAAGAAATGGGCTTCACACATTGTAGCCATGTGGGAATTAAACCTGCAGGGGGTCTCACACATTGCTGACGAATTAAACCTGGCTTTAACCACTAGGCTACCTCACCTCCCCCATCATTTAAAGAAAAAATACTAGCAGTGTTTGTCTTTCAGTCATTTGCTCAAAAACTGACTAAATCATTTTTTTCAAATAAAAATAATAAGAATTATTTTTAGAACATTAACCTTGTGGTTTGGGACAGCTGTCTTTTAACCCGTCAACAACAATGTGAAGTTTTTCTGACCTCATTAAACTTTTCATGGTACCAGTTGACCTTGTCGTGCTGATTGGGGAGTGTGGAGACGTAGCGGCTGTTGATGTCCACGCAGACTGAGAACCCATTCTTCACCATGCAGTTACACAGAGACAGAACATGGCAGAGGTGCGTCTTGTTGTCATTGGAGTATGTCACAAACACCTTGATATGACGGAAGGCTGGAAGGAATCAGGGAGATATGGTGATGACTAGATCATGTAGCTCACACTGTACTTTGAATATGGAATACATATCTACAAAGGATGTACTTGAATAAGGAATACATATCTGTAGGGGATGTACTTCAATAAGGAATACATATCTACAAGTGATGTACTTGAATAAGGAATACATATCTGTAGGGGATGTACTTCAATAAGGAATACATATCTGTAGGGGATGTACTTCAGTAAGGAATACATATCTACAAGTGATGTACTTCAATAAGGAATACATGTCTGTAGGGGATGTACTTCAATAAGGAATACTTATCTGTAAGGGATGTACTTCAATAAGGAATACTTATCTGTAGGGGATGTACTTCAATAAGGAATACATCTGTAGGGGATGTACTTCAATAAGGAATACATATCTGTAGGGGATGTACTTCAATAAGGAATGCATATCTGTAGGGGATGTACTTGAATAAGGAAAACATATCTGTAGGGGATGTACTTCAATAAGGAATACATATCTGTAGGGGATGTACTTCAATAAGCATCAAACACACCTACTCATTTCCATACCCTGACACTGTTCACACAGATCCAACTGTCATTCCTCGCAATCAGTGAGTCAAGTATTTTATGCCACTTCGAAAAACATTCCACTGACAATACAACAGACACACTTGAAATGGGATCCACATACTGCACTGATTCTCGAATTGAATCCATCCTTTGAAAACCTTTAGACACCTGACTCACTAGACGAAACTGACTTTTTCTATACCGAGACTTTGGACTACTAGCCTTGCATCATTTTCAGTCAATTTTAGTGTTATTTTCATCTGAGCTAATTAAACTGATCTACTAGCCCATACATGACTCTTTGCAGTTATTATTGACTATTATCAGCCGAAAGCTTACTCAACCAAACTTTAACTACACTTAGATTAGTGGCTGAGACAGTCTTTGGTAGCATTAACTAAGTGCCTAACAGTTCAGACCTCGTCTTCAGCAATTCCATGCTTGAAGCTAGAGGCTAATGGGATCGGGTGGTCAGGCTTGCTGACTTGTTGTTGACACATGTCAGATCCCCATTGAGTAGATTATTTACAGAACGGTGCCATATAGCTGGAATATTGCTGAGTGTGGCATTAAACAACTCCAACCAGAAGTGGCTCCCAGTCTAAGTAAACTTAGGCTCAGTATTATTCGTTACACTGCTATAGTGAGTCTAACAAAACCTTGTGGAAGGTCGCGTCAGGTAACCTTTGAGTGAACTATGACCGTCCAATCAAACGCGAAACAACCGAACAGATTTAACCAATCAGACAACAGCTACTATTTAGGGTTCAGCGGGACTTACAAAATGGATTTTCTCTTCCCTGTTCACCAACACTGATCTCCGAACAAATGAAAATTGCATAAAACACAGATATTTGCCCTGCAGTATATACGCTTTGTGGTTTCTGGTGACATGGTTATCATTAGCTAATATTTCAGCAAGGTGACATGCTTAAATACTGACAAAAGGCTATTTTCAGCGACTGTTTAATCACTGCTGTGGCGTGCCTCACTAGGAACCGATCGTACAGAAAAAAGCATTCGGAATCGTTCGGTACAAACTTTTTGGAGGTAAAAGTTCAAAAGGTATGTGCGACTTTTGAAATCAACTTTCGCGATTTGGTAAGCTGTTTTCGGATTGGTCACTTGAAAAGGTTATCTGACGCTACCTTCCACAAGGTTTTGTTAGTCTCAGTATAGCAGTGTAACGAATAATACTGAGCCTAAGTTTACTTAGACTGAATGGCTCCACATGTAGTTACCTTTCCTGAACTCGGCCGGTTTCATATCTACTGGCATGGAAGTGGACTTGGTGAGTGTGTTTGACTGGTTCAGCTGCTGTAGGTTACTGACCACAGTCCCTGTGGTGGGAGTCTTAACCCGGGGAAACGTCTTGGGCGTCTCTCTCACTCCATTCTTAGTCCGCGATTGCATTTTCTTCAGGTCTGTGAAGTTCTGATTATCATGACCACTACAGCTTGGAGCATCCATCTTCTCTTCTTTGAACTGTCGAGGCCTTCCCATCCGCTCATCTTCCACCTTCTGATCGGCAACAATCTTCTTGTATTCCTGATTTGGCTGGTAGCAAGGCGGTATTTTTGCCAACTGCTGCAGCTTGGAAATGGGTGGTGAGGACACCTTCCGCAAACCAGCATCATGCATCATTTGATGATTGTTCATGTTGACGAGGGTGCCTTTGATGATGTAAGGTCTGTTGGAGGACGACATAGGCTGTTTGGGGACCATATCCTGGCCATAATACCCCGGTCGCCCATGCCTTTCTCTGACGTGATTGTACGCAATGTAGTCGGCATTATGCCCTGAAGTTTCAACTTCTTCTTCACGAGCTACATCGATAGCAGTTGGCTGCCCCATGGACTGTGAATGAGTGAAAGATGACAACTGGTTATCTCCCCTCATGATGGTCTGCGGCAAAGGTGCGGGATCCTCCCGACGATGATTGTCTTCCTCCATGTCGATATCATCGACTGATATCATTTCCCCTGGTCCTGCAGGATCCTCATGGACCATCATGCTCTCCTGGCAGCCATTGTGCTGGGGTGGGGTGTATTCACCGCTGAAGTAAGGATGACCCTGCACACCACGCTGCATGATATAGGGTATGCTTCCGTTCTGACTAGGGTAGCCATTACACAAGTGGGGCCGCGGCTCGGGGATGGAGTTGTGTCTGCAGGGTGGAGATGGGTGGACGTGGCAGGCAGTGGTTGGGCAATACGGCATGGAGTTCACCATGGCCGGGTATGAATACACATAAGGTGGACAGTTTGATGACCAGCTGTAGGTGACTTCTTCAGGGGTGCGAGGAGACGGTCGAATAGTATTCTTTTCATTTTTATACATTTCTTCAGCCTCTGAAAAATAAAATATGATAGTGTAATCACTATTCATCATGGTTGTATGTCCTAGCTAAAATTATTCATCTTAGGTAGGTTTGTGTCCAACAACCTCTGTTATCAATTTATCTGTTATCAATAATTGTCCCAATCACCTTGTATTCGTGATCCACAAAATATGTCTAACTTGGATGAGTTAAGCATTGACTCCTGTGCAGAGTAATCTCATGTGAATATTACATTTGTAACTATAAGAATCAATAATTGTTGCAATCACCTCATATTAATCATCACTACAGGCCTTGTTCCAAGCCTCCCCTCCAGTAACCCTTCCACAACCACCTTCATCCTCAACACACAGCCCAACCCAAACCACTCACTCAGAAGACAGATCCGGGCTCATGTCCAGTAACCCTTCCACAACCATCTTCATCCTCAACACACATCCCAACCCAAACCACTCACTCAGAAGACAGATCCGGGCTCATGTCCAGTAACCCTTCCACAACCACCTTCATCCTCAACACACAGCCCAACCCAAACCACTGACTCAGAAGACAGATCTCATGTCCAGTAACCCTTCACCACATTCATCCCACACACAGCCCAACCCAAACCACTGACTCAGAAGACAGATCCAGGCTCATGTCCAGTAACCCTTCCACAACCACCTTCATCCTCAACACACAGCCCAACCCAAACCACTCACTCAGAAGACAGATCCAGGTTCATGTCCAGTAACCCTTCCACAACCACCTTCATCCTCAACACACAGCCCAACCCAAACCACTCACTCAGAAGACAGATCCAGGCTCATGTCCAGTAACCCTTCCACAACCACCTTCATCCTCAACACACAGCCCAACCCAAACCACTCACTCAGAAGACAGATCCAGGTTCATGTCCAGTAACCCTTCCACAACCACCTTCATCCTCAACACACAGCCCAACCCAAACCACTCACTCAGAAGACAGATCCAGGCTCATGTCCAGTAACCCTTCCACAACCACCTTCATCCTCAACACACAGCCCAACCCAAACCACTGACTCAGAAGACAGATCCAGGTTCATGTCCAGTAACCCTTCCACAACCACCTTCATCCTCAACACACAGCCTAACCCAAACCACTCACTCAGAAGACAGATCCAGGCTCATGTCCAGTAACCCTTCCACAACCACCTTCATCCTCAACACACAGCCCAACCCAAACCACTGACTCAGAAGACAGATCCAGGCTCATGTCCAGTAACCCTTCCACACATCCCCAGCACACTGTACAGCCCAAAGTACCTTCATCCCCAACACACGGCCCAAAGCACCTTCATCCCCAGCACACAGCCCAAAGCACCTTCAGCCCCAGCACACAGCCCAAAGCACCTTCAGCCCCAGCACACAGCCCAAAGCACCTACCCTGCATGTGATTGTTCAGCACCACCAGAGCATCAGGTCTTGAAATCTCCTCCAGCGCCGCCTTAAACTTCTCCACCGTGGCCGACTCCTTCTTCACATACTCTCCCAGCAGCAGCAGCGTGCATGGCTTGTCTTGACGGCGAGACTCAAGGAACTGAAACAAATATCATATATAACTGGTTTATATTCACCAGTGAACTGGCAAGCAGTACCATTGTTAGGGACCGCAATTTTGTACACAAAAATATAGAGAGAATACTAAACAATGTCCCGTGTAATACCATATTTATGAAACAAGTGAATGATTTTGTATCTAACGAGCGAAAGCGACTTAGATACTAATACCATTCACGAGTTTCATAAATATGTTATTGCACGGGACATCATTTAGTATTTTATTTATTACTCATCCAACATTAGCAAAATAATATCGAGCAAAGTACTTCTTTCCTAAGAATTCGAAGGAGTGTGATGACTCTCAGCTTTCCGCGAGTCAAGCAAGATCTAATACTATTGTGACAGAGGTATTAGCATTGTGACGTCATAACTGTAAACCACTTTGACGTCATACGTATGGCATCACACGATGTTATTACACAATGTTTAATAACTTTGTAAAATTATTAAACAGTGATATCTTCAACGGGTGAGTAATAAAAAAAATTATGCTTAAAAATTATGGGAAGGGGGAAGGGTCATTGATTTTGTACATGATATGCAATTTTAGGAGAAGCAATTCATTGATACTCTCCATGTCGGCAATATAACACTAGCGACAGACCAATAGCAATAGCCGTTTGAGTCAGTGATATATTACCCAGGGCTCCAGATAAAGGCCGTATCAGCGTATGTATGGCTAAAATGTAGGCACGATACGACAGGAAATAATTTAGGAAACGTAGCAGCTACACACCACAGCAATAGTGTAAGGTCTTAGAATCATTTACAGACATATTTATCTGAAAAAAGTATTTTTGTTATTGTATATTGACCTGTTTACACAAGACTAGCAATGTTGTGGTGCATATATGAAACGAAACATACAATTACTGATACGCCATTAAAGTCCATTCAGTACTCTAAATGTACTCTTAAGTTTTTCCAGTACTCCTATATTTAAAAAATAAGGAGTACGTACTCCTGATGTTGAAAAATTATCTGGAGCCCTGTATTACCCTGTCAAAGACAGCATCATAAGACCCATAAAAAGCTCAGGCCTAGAAATGGTCTTCAGCATGACAAGCAATTTACCAAATTTACCAATTTATCATTGAATCCCAATTGATTAGATCTATGTTCATGATACTGGAATATCTGGTCTGGTCTTAATCATTTACAGTTGGAGTGAGTGAGTTTAGTTTTACGCCGCTTTTAGCAATATTCCAGCAATATCATGTCAGGGGACACAAGAAATGAGCTTCACACATTGTACCCATGTGGGGAATCAAACCCAGGCCTTTGGAGTGACGAGCAAATGCTTTAACCACTAGGCCACAGCCCCTGTACCTCAATAAAGAATCTAGCAGTGATAGAAGCCCAAATGATTCGTAGCAAGAAAGTTTCTTTAAAGTTACGTTATTCATTTGTTACTTAACATCTGCTAAATTTTGGTACATTGTAATATTTCATATTTGTAAAACTTGGAATCTATGAACTGAAACAAGCTGTGACTTGAACATCATCTGGTATCATTACATCACACAAGGACTGAAAATATGTAATGACACGTTCCCATAAAATGTGCATTTTTATCCTCAGTTTGATATATTCAGTGTTGTCTGCACAACAATGATTGAAAAGTATGAACATCATTTCTCATTCAGATCAACAACTTCGGGAACTTTAACACAAATTTCCTCATAAGGTTACGATACAAGGTTTTCCTCATATCCTCATTATGGAGATCTGCAAGGAGGAAAAACACTGTATGCATGAGTTTTATCGCTTCCCCCGTCCTTTCCAGGAAAAGAGATGGATGGATGTGCGGACGGCCAGACAGACAGATAGACAGACAAAATTTACTGTAATCGTAGTTATTTTTGCATGGGATTATTTTCGCGCTTTAAGTCCAAAAAGATCGTGTGCCAATAATTATACCAAGCGAAATATTCATGGTCAAGTCATGACAAATATTCAAGTAGGAACAACATGCAATTTGTTTATTCTCTCAGACAACAACATCAAAACAATATATAAATAAATAGAGGCACATATACTAGTGATAGCTATGACAATCAGCAAATTATATATCATGAATTATATATATACCACGAATTGAAACAAAGACATGAAATGCAGCCAATGAATGAATGAATCCAGTGACCATGTGAACAACACGTGTTTATAAACAACAAACACTACTTTATGATTTCTATGTTTAATTATCATAAGTACTAGATACACTCTTCCTTAATTCGTTGTCAGTTGATCTCACATATGTGACAGGTGTTGTCATGTTGACACAAGTATAATCCCACCTCTCTCTCTCTGATTGTTTTAGTAAACACGACTCAATTATGGCAGCTAGCTTTGATCATTGCATGTCTATCGGTTGTGAAAACTTTGTGATGGATACCATCACTCAGGTGTTTGAATTGCACGAAAAAACAACTGTGCTAACATGTCTTTTGTGAACTTTCCGCGAAAATTGCACCCCGTGGAAATATATACGATTACAGTATTCGACAGGCCCCATGTTATGTCAAGCATGACTTTAATACTATCATGATCTCAAAATTCGACTTTCCTAGTTAAGCAATGTCAGGTTGCAAGTAGTAACAAACAAATCATACAAATCAGTTTTCCTTCATCTTCACAACTTCGAAAATGCCTCTCAAAGAAAAAAAATAAATCAAAAACTGCCAGGCTTGATTGCTGACTTATTTATGCAGAACACTAACCTCACCTTATATTATATTATATTTTGTAGCAGTAAATGTAGCATACAAAGGTAATGAAGTTTAAAAGGAAAAAACCCTGACATTAAATACTACTCCGTCATGAATAATGTTTGTGTTTCCATGATACATGTAAGGGCTGTAGGGTAGCCTAGTGGTTAAAGCTTTCGCTCGTCACGCTGAACACACGGGTTCCATTCCCCACATGGGTACCATTATTCCCTTCCAACAGAGGTTACTTGTCATATCTTCCTACGAACCTGTTCTAATACGGACATATTTCCCGGTTCTCATAAATCCCCTAGCGGCAAAAAATTGTAAGACAAATTATCTCCTTTCTTTCTATCCAATCAGAACACGTTTTACATCGACTTAGATCCAACTTATGGGGATCCACAAATATGGGGCCACAAATATCCCTCCTTTGCCGGGGGACTTGTGTTGATGTGACACACAAGGCATTTAATGGCTAGCTTGTCCGTTGTCAAGGAGAGGCGATGGAGACACCATTGATCCACCATTACATGACTGAGTTCTGTCTAGAAGAAACGTTTGCGCATCGCACAGGGGAAGAGGTTCTAGTTTTCCCGAAGCATACGGAAATTACTGAGGCCTTGCGAATGATCACTTTTGAAACAACATCGCTGATTGCACAACTAAATCTCATTGCAACCAATCACGAATCCTGAACACTCGCACCATGAAAGGGCCGTATTAGAACAGAGGTTCATAGGAAGATATGACAAGTAACCTCTGTGGGAAGAGAATGGGGTATCATGTGTGGAGCCCATTTCTGGTGTCCCCTGCTGTGATCTTGCTGAAATATTGCTAAAAGCGGCGTAAAACCAAACTCAGTCACTATTGGGGCGACAACAAATCTACTATGAAGTGAACTGATACTTATCACAAATATTGGGTAATGAATGCTGTTGATGTTTGTTCATTTTATTCAGTAAAACAATAAACTAATCACACATTGTACCCATGTGGGGAATCAAACCCGGGTCATCGGTGTGATGAGTGAACGATTTAACCACTAGGCTACCCCACCGCCCATCACCCTATAAATACTATTGATTCTTGTAACATGTCGAATGTATATAGGAATATACATGGCATAACTGAATATCCCTGACAAAATATGAGTAGTATATAAACTAAGGTACTAAATAATAAGGGTAGGCTAGTACATCTAAATGTTTAGTGACAGTCAACCCCTGATACAAAGTACGAAATCATCTCTCTCCAATATTCCAGCAATATCACAGCAGGGGAGACCAGAAATAGGCTTCACACATTGTACCCATGTGGGGAATCGAAGCTGGGTGTCCCTCACAACAGCTGGTATCTATAAATTCTCACCATTTATGTGTATCACATGTGAGTGCCTTAATTGGAACTGATTGGCCTCCCCTAGATACATAACACAACGTGAGTTAGTGAGTTTAGCTTTACGCCGCACTCAGCAATATTCAAACTATATGGCGGTGGTCTGTAAATAATCGAGTCTGGACAAGACAATCCAGTGCTCAAAAGCATGAGCATCGATCTGCGTAATTGAGAACCGATGTCATGTGTCAACCAAGTCAGCGAGCCTGACCATCCGATCCCGTTAGTCGCCTCTTACGACAAGCATGGGTAATTGAAGGCCAATATTCTAACCCGGACCTTCACGGGTCCACAACGTTATAACAGAGGAAGATTATCATATTTTCTTCACTAACACCATCCAAATCCTACACTTTCACACAGTAGCCTACTGTAGAGCTTGTATACATAAGGCTTGACACGACAAGGATGAATAGAGTACAATGTTGGTAGACGAGATGGCATTCTACGTCAGCATCGCTATTGTAAGATATGTAAATCAAATCAAGTGGAGGATGAATTTCATTTTCTTTCTAAATGTCCACTGTATAAAGAATTGCGTGTTAAATACTTTGAAAATATACCTATATACATTAATGAAGATGTCATGATCTAAAATCTTCTAAAATGGTAATCCAACTCATTTACTGTCCCTCTCAAATTATGTTAAAGATGCCTTGATTTTGCGCAGTTCATTCGTTTGAGTGATAAATGAATATCACATGTTAACTTTGTACATGGGACGAAGGCCTTTCTACTGAATAAAAGATTGACTGAATGTTTATACAGTAAAACTGTTCAAATAATGTATCATACATCGCCCATTTTGTGTAAAACTCAATAAGCTTGTTAATACGAAGAACATATGTAGTAGTAAAGTATATTCACT